CGCGCAAGGCATTTGGACGAAAGCAGAAATGTTTGCGAATTGCTTCGACAGGCTACAAGGCTACAAAATCGTTTCCTGTGAGACGAAGCGTGTTGAAAATGTTTGGAACACATTCCTTTCTCGATCCCCGTCTCCACATCAAGTGCATTAACCTTCTCTTACCTTCAACGGAGTAAGAACCTCATGGAGAGCGTACAAAGTAAGATAAGTACAAAGTTCTTGACAGCTTCGATACCGTAACGTATTTTTGAAAACCACTTTGTTACATACCTGACGTTATAACCCTCTAGGGAAGAGTGCCACCTTTAGAGGCTTGTGCGAATGGCTTTTGCGACGAATGCGAGACGGGAGTTTTCGCAGTGACGCGTAGAAGCACGCCCGGGCCATCCGAAACGTACTACTTAAGCTACGCCACAGCTCTAAAAAAATGATCAGAGTTGTTGACAGATGATAGTCATTTAAGGCTGGTCGCCGCCACCACCACGGGGCACAGCAGCACTGACCAGCAGGGTTCATATATGCTCATGTTGAATGGCGCCATAAACGACCAGTCCAGGCGCGCACCGGCTCGACTGGCGTTTCGCACGAAAAGGAATTTGCAGTATTCGCCGAAGCCTGACAATTCTGCGGTTCAGCCGCATTTTACTCGGATGGAAAGCATGTTTGTTGTCAAAGAAATGTATGAGAGCTGTCATGTTATTAAATACAGAGGTGGTTCAGTTGTTATACATTTAAATGGATGGATCCTTCGGCCCCCCGTGGAAAAATCGGGGTAAACATTGTCGAGCCACAAGTTATTTTCGATTCTGATGGGCATGGAACAGTTTTGCGCAAGTCGTTGTTTGGGATGTAGAGCCTCGCACGGGAGATAGGAATCACTTCCAGGAAGTTTGCGTTGCGATACGAATTGGACGCATTTATACACAAACGCATTCTCAGCGTCCGATCCAGAGCTGAAGGTGGCACTCTTCCTTTGAACTATTGCCCTGACGTGGCAAGTTTCTATCGATTGACGGGATGCAACGATGAACAAGCCTATGAACTCAGTGCGGGTCAAGATCAGAGTCACGCGTCTCCGACGCACGAGTTACGTGTCGGGGTCGGCGCTGACGCCCGCCGCCTCGGCCACCCCTCAGAGGGGCGTGTGGCGTCCGCCGGACTGAGGGCGGGGCGGAGGGGGCGAGCCGGCAGCCGTCCGCGCCAGCCGACGTCGAGGCCGGCCGCGGGTCAGCTGACTGAGCTCTGTCGTCCCGCAGGTCCAGTCTGCTCTCCAGCCTGGGCGGCGCCGTCGCCTCCACGCCCATCGACGTCCTCCGGGTGCGTGCTGGTGCGGGCGTGGCCTGAGCAAGGCGGGCTACGCGCTCGTCAGCTGGCTGTGGTGATCTGGTCTGCTGTGGAGGACGCTCTAACATCAGACAGCCTGTGTGCGCCTACCGCGGCTGTGCTTGTCCCGGGCCTGCGCCGAACGTTGGTCGCAGCGTTTGGCGTGTCCTCCTGCGTGTGGCTTTGGGATGGATGTAAATGTGCGTCATACGTCTGATGTTGACCGTGTGTACCATGTGAGGACGGCACGCGGCGGGTGCGTAACAGTACGCGCCGCGGTCCGGCCGGGCCGCGCTGGTGACCTGTGACCGTGGCCGTGGCCGTGACCGTGACCGTGGCCGTGACCGTGACCGTGGCCGTGACCGTGGCCGTTACATGTGACTCGTGACATGTGGCCGTGACCTTGACCTGTGACCGTCACCGTGACGTATGACCTTGACTTATGACCGTGACTGACCGTAACCGTAGCTTGTGACCGTGACTTGTGAACTGTGACTGTGACCGTGACTGTGACTGTAACTGTAACTGTGACCGTGACCGTGCGCCTGCCGTCGCCAGACACGTATGATGAACCAGCGGACGCTGCTGCGGGCCGGCGTGGGCCCGGCGCCCGCCACCGCCGAGGGTCTGGTGCCCGCTCACTACTACCGCAGCAGCCTCGACTGCCTGGTCAAGGTACGGAGCCGCGCCGGCCTGGCGCCGCTGGGTGTCGTCCTATCGAGCTGGGCCGGACGGCTGGGCACGGACCGGACCCGGGTCAACGATCAGACACGCGACCTTGCGGCGGCGGAGACGCCTGCCGCTTCGAGCTCCCGCCGATCTCGAGTAATTTCAATGCCAGTCGGAGCGGCTGCCAGTGCGTTATTGTCGACGGCACGCACCCGTCTTCGGTATCGATGTGGTGGACTCAGTAATGCGGACGCCTGGTCAACGAAACAGCCATCGTTTGTGTTTGTGCAGGGCTGGCTAATTGGGTCGTTATTGCGAGCCGTGCCTGTATGGTGCGTATGCGTGTGCGTGCATGTGTGCGTGTGTGCGTGCGCGCGTGTGTGTGTGTGTGTTGCCAGTTGTGTCCAATGGCGAGTGGATACGAGCCGACCCGCCCCCTCGTCTCAGTCGACGTCATCAACATCAGTCGGCACCGCCTGTGTTTTGCAGACGGTACGCTTCGAGGGCTGTCGGGCCCTCTACAAGGGCTTCGTGCCTACCTGGCTGCGCCTGGGCCCCTGGAACATCATCTTCTTCGTCTCGTTCGAGCGGCTAAAGCAGCTGTACTAGCGGACTCAGTGCGGCGACGGCAGCGCCTCTGTCGGCGGGCGGCGACACTGCCCGGCGCCGGCCGACGGCGGCGGCGAATCGGGTGGGCTGGCTCGCCGGCCGCGCCTGAGCACGCTCTTCACCTAGGTCTTCAATGAAAGCTTCCCGCCACGTGCGAGCTTGCCGCCACATCGAGAGCTTTCTCCCACATCAGCCGCGGGGCTGTGAGCTTCAGGCGCGTCGGTTCCTCCCCCGTCGTGAGCCGGCCCTGCGCTGCCACGTGCCTGCCGGGTGGGGCGCGGCGCCGCGATCATCCGGCCGGCGATACGCTGGTAGCTAGACGGCCAGGCGCCTGTCTGACCCGCCCGAGAGTGGCCGTCGGCTCCGTCTGGCGCTCGGTTGACGTCATGCAAACCCAAGCTCAACGGCCTCCTTCCGCCGCGGGGCTTCCGCTCCGCGTGGCTCACGTGGGCAGCGGTTGTTTTATCTCTCATGTCGTCCATACTGTTGATGTGTTTCGCGCTGTCACAGCGGCCGTTTTCACCGTGGCCGTGCTCGCCGCCGGAGCTCGCTCACTCTGGTTGAATTCGCTCACTCGGGCTGAGCTCACTTACTCGGGCTGAGCGCGCTCACTCGGGCTGAGCTCGCCTGCTCGGACCGCGCTGCCGCACGGGCGGCGCCGCAAGTCGTAGGCACTGTTGTGCGCGGGTGCGCCCGCGTCGTGTTCGGGACGGGCCGGCGAGGCGCGAGCCTCAGCCGGTACCGCGGCTCTGGGAGGTGGCTCGGGGTGGTAAGGTGCGGTATGGAGCCCGTGACCCCCCTCACGACGCGTGGCCGAAGATCATATCCTACGCGTACGTGGACCGTGTTCTTGGCGTCCGCCGCCGATCTCTGCCCATTGTCGGACGGTTGGGTTCTGTGGCCGGCGTGACGGCGTGAGGCATGTTTCTTGCCATTTCGCCTGTTTTTTGAACCTGCAGAAGTTGTTTTAGTGGATCTTGGGTGAGATGCTTTACATATGGCAGTGATCTGTTTTATGAAGAGGTGGACCGCTTAAAAGGATGACCCTCCGTGCGTTATTTTGGAAAATACATCCCGTCAACGTTCACTTGACCGGCAAAGGACGTGTACGGTATTGTGTTAAACCGGCCCATTTAGCCGCTCTGGACAAGGGAAAAGACGAGCAACCGCAATCCATGAGAGGCACGGTGTGAACACGGGGCACGGACCATGCGTTGGGGGTGGGGGAGGTGGGTACGGTGGGCAGGAACGGGCGTTGCCGCTACGCCACCTCATTTGGCTGAAGGCGGGGATATGTCGGTTCAGTCGGTAAGAGGGCGGGGCTGTTGCTACACGGAAGGTGCCTGACTGCCAGGGTCGGCCGAGGCGAAGCCTCCCATCGGCGTATCCCAATAATGGCATCAGATTATAATATTTTGCCAATACGGTACAAAAAGCCGCATCGAATGTAGCTGACTTCGGGTGCATCTCCAGGAAATGCTTGATAGTCTGAAGCCGCCATAGTCAGGGTTCTTGTTTCTTAGGCTTGCGAGCGCCAGCAGGCTCCGGCCGGCTGGTGTTGAGACGGGTGTCAGCAGGCGGGCCGGTGCACGCACTGCGCGACGCTTGCGGCGCTACGTGCTCCATTGTTTCGCCTCTGCTCGGCTCTCGCGCCGGGTGAACCCGTCCCTGAAATCAGAACTGTTCGCAAAATGGCTCCCGCAAACTCCTGGTTTTCTCATCGCCGCTGGCGGTAGTATCTGCCAGCGTATGTTGGAGGCGGGCCGTATGGAGTGCCAATTTTTATGAATGATTGGAGGCGAGGACGAGCCGAGGATCCGACCACCTATCCTCCTCCATTTCTTCCCAATGGATTTAGCCCGCTATTTTGACGAACGGCGCTACAGTTTGTGCTCTGTGGCATCATTAAAACAGCGGCACAAATATTAGTTAACAATATAATTTAAACGTGGTAGTCTTGCAGGGGCGGATCCAGACGGGAGCGGGGAACGCAGGCATTAGAGCGAAGTGCCCCTTCTGATCGTTAAGTTTGAACGCGCCCGTCCTTCCAAGACGCTCTAAACTTTTGTGTGTGACACTCTGGTGTGCGTGCCTCAATGCGTGCATCGGGCAACGCATTTACGTTAACGACATGGCGCCAATGAAAGGTCGCTGATGCGGATTAATAACTAACGATTTATTTATTTACGAACAATGGAAATTAATTAACGAAGAATTAAGAACGAATAAATAATTAAATTAATAAAATTAATAACCGAGCTAATAACCGTGTAAAAAAAAACTCAACTCCTCCACGCGCAATTCTGAGCGCGCCTCTGGCATGACGCAGCACAAACGCCGCACTCCGCTCTGTACACAGACTATGACTGCCCCATCCACCGCTCACGACAGTGTGGCCTTGGATCGCTGCTGAGTTGTGCGCCGTCAGCGTGTGCCGTCGTTAGAGATGCAAACTATCGGGAGCGGCGCGCTGTCCGGCCTCGGCAGAGCAGGCCCCGACGAGGCGTATAGCCCGGCCCAGTGAGCAGGTTGGCAACATTTCACCTGCACACTCGACGACTGTTCACCCGACGCTGGTTTTGCTTCCTTTCGTCGGCGCCCTGCGGTGACGATCCTGATCTTAAACTGGCAGGCGGATGGGCACTGGAGCTACGAGACTGCCACCTCTGCGTCGATCTCGCGCCGCCGCCGCGCGGGGCTGGCCTCATCCGAGGCACGGCGGGCGCGGTCGCGCGCAGTGGGCGGTTGGAAGTCTGCTCAAGCTGTGAGAGCCGTGCGAATTCCGGCCATGGAGCTGGTGGCCCTGCTGCCGGTGTTGCTGGTCGTCCTGGTGCTGCTCCTGTTGTACAAGTACGGCACGCGCAACTACGGGACTTTGGAGAAGCTCGGCATTCCCGTCATCAAGCCGTACCCGTTCGTGGGCAGCGTGCCGCGCCCATGGCGACTCTATCTCAGGGAGGAGGACTTGCGCCACGCGAAGCAGTTCAACGGCGTGTGGGGTCTGTATGAGGGCCCCACACCCCAGGTGTTCATCGCTGACCGGGAGATGGTAAAGCGCATTTTTATCAAGGACTTTAGTAATTTCAGCGAGCGATTTGTTGCCAACTTTTACTCTTCTGCCACGAAAGACCTGCTGGACATGCTTGTGCACGACCGCTGGAAGGTGGTGAGGGCGATCCTGACTCCGGCTCTGTCTACGGGCGCTAAGCTCAAGGCCATGATGCCCACTTTGGAGCATTGTGCGCGCGACGCCTGCACACGCTTGGACCAGGAGCTGCTCAAGAGTCCCGTGGTGCAGATCAAGGACGCTTTGTTCGGGCCGCTGGTGCTGGACGCCGTCGCCCAGTTCACATTCGGCCTGAAAGTACCCAACATAAGCGACAGCACCCACCCGTTCGTCAAGGCGGCCAAAACCTTTGGTGGCGACGAGTTCTCCAGTCCGGTCATCTCGGGCTTGCTGACCTTCTCGCCGAAACTCAGCTCGATGCTCATGAGCAAGTTCATGGCGCCGCCGCTCCAACTGCTGACGGATATCCTGCGCAAGTCGGTAAAGGAGCGACGCGCAACCGGCGCCGACCGGGCGGACCTAGTCGGCGCCCTTATCGACGCCATCGACAACAAGGTGCCGACGAAGGAGTTTCGCGAGCTCGACATCACCGAGGACGTGCTGCTGCTGCAGGGTGCCAACCTGCTCATGGACGCGTACGATACCACCGGCAACACGCTGTCTCTCTGCGCCTACCACTTGGCCACCAACCCCGACGTGATGGCACGGGTGCTGGAGGAGATCAGCGGCGTGGAGCTGACGTACGAGGCGCTGCAGCAGCTGCCGCTGCTGGAGGCCGTGATGCAGGAGGCGCTGCGCGTGTCGCCGTTCATTCCGCGTCACCAGCGGACCTGCCAGCGCGACTGGCAGTGCGGCAACCTGCGCTTGCCGGCCGGCACCTGTGTCACGATCCCCGTCTGGCCGTTACACCTCGACCCGGAGGTGTTTCCGGAGCCGGAGCGCTTCCTGCCAGACCGCTGGCTGGGCGAGGAGGGTCGCCAGCTCGGCCAGTACAACTGGATGCCGTTCGGCCTGGGGCCGCGCGCCTGTATTGGCATGCGGCTGGCCACCATGGAGGTCAAGTTCGTGCTGGCCTATGTGCTGCAGCGCTACCGGCTGATCGCCGCACCCGAGACAAAGCTGGTGTACCGCAAGGGCACTTCAGTCTTCTCTGGCTTCTACCCCATCCACATTAAGGTTGAGAAGCTGTAGACGGACGCACCAGCTCGGATGTGCGAGCATCGTGACTCAATGTCTGTCCCGTTGTTGGATTAGCTAGGGAAGAGTAGTGTCTTATCATTGCCAGGAAGCATGAACCTCTGGCACGTGCGATTTATTTGGCAACTCCTTTAGTGACAAGTTTTGATTCAACTCAAAGCCTGTGGGATGGTCAATCATAATACGAGAACGCCGAATCCGATGACAATGTCCAATACCACGTGACGGGGGCTTCACATAACCAAAAGTTATCAGCCAGGTTCTGATTTTAGGCACCAGAATATTCACCAGGTCATGAGATAGCGTTCGTCTAATCATTTAACTTCTTAAGGTCGCCCTCCAAGGTCAACTCCAACTTCAAAGGACGCTGAACTCCAAGAATTCGAAATTTACCGGCCGATTGCGGATTTTGAACACCAGAATATTCATCAGCGCATAAAAAAATTTCCCTCAGAAAGTCCCGACCTCTCAAGGTCATTGGTGTACTTGCGGCGATGTGAGGCGGAGCTTATATTTGACTAATGCCTAGTGTATTTGTTCCTACTGCATCCACCTTGCAATTGCTTTCAATTTGACATGGCCGCCGGGCCGCGATATGTAACACAGAAAGCCAGCGATCGGTCAGCCGGTCGGGCAAGGCATCTAAGCGCACAGACCGCGCCGAAAGGGCAGCTGCGGGCCGGGACGAAAACGGGGATCGTCAAGACGAGACGCCCTGGTCGAAACGCAGGATGTGCCCGGCATAAGCTACGCCCGACGCATAGAGTGTTAGAAGCATGTTCGCAGCAGGGGGCCGCAGGGGAGCGGGGCGTCCAATGGAGCCGCGTCCCACACCGCTCGCGTGGCTGCTGCGCCGGGGTCGACAAACCGCCAGCACACGACCAACAAAGACCCGTGCAGAGCGGAGCCGGCTGATACCACCATCCGCCGCGGGCAAGTTCAGACCCCGAGTCCGAGCAGCGCTGGAGACCGAGTCCCGGCCGATCGGAGAGAGCCCATGCAGAACGGACATGAACATGAGCATGAATGGGAGCGAGCTTAGCTGATGGCCGGAGCTCAGGGGAGGAGCATTTCGGACAAAACCGGGGGAGCGTCACATTCAGGAAGAGGACAGCCACTCGGAACCACGACCGGAGGAGACCAGCCATTGGATTCTGGGGAGATCGACCATCGGACTCTGAGGGCTCTCAGTGGACGGCGGCGCTCTTCGCCCGACAATTCCAATCATCATCATGTGAATGGAGAAGCTGCGACGAAGAGCTGACGCACTGCAGTCTGTTCCCCGTTTCCATCCCTCTTCGGCCATGTCTTCATACCTCCTTCCCCCCCCCCCCCCTCCGACGCTCCTTTCGCTCTCCCTTGCTTCTCAGACGCCAGCTGGGTGCGAAAACGCTGCAGAGATATTACTAGTTTAAGGGATACTAACCAGACACGATGGGCAAGTCACGTACCGGCTGGGGATTAGTACCCGCGAAGGGCGAATTAATCCCCACCCGGCAAAAGCATGATGTAGAAACCATCAATATGAATGTGACCTGCTCAGCGCCTGACCCCTACTTATACAGGGTAGGGATCACGCGCCCGGCAGGTTGTATTGTATGTAAGGTTACGTCATAAGTATTGTCGGGGAGAGAAGTTCTATTGCTTGCATGCAACTAAGTGCCGTGTGCATAGATGTGTGAATGTGGATTATAATTTAATACAGTGGTTGCATGAATATGATTTTAATGATTTCACGCCGTGATTTTAAGGGGGAACGCGAGGGACGTAAGGGCAGAACAAACATGGCGCAAACGAACCGTAATCAGGTCAGGTATCCAGACCCTGATCGCGGGCATCCGTTAAATTCGTAACCTGCACGAGTCTTCATGCAAAGTTAGGTGTGAAAGGAAGGACTGCTAGTTGGAATGTTGCACTTAATTTATACAGTTATTGATGTAAATATATTATCGCGCACAGCTATAAATGTAAGTCTACCGTAAAACGTACATTTCGATTCACCAGTTGTTCTTTAACTTAACAAAAATTTAAGGAAAACTGGGGTCAACAATACCTGATTTATTTTATTTGCCACTTGGCTGTTTACTTGCGACGCGCATAGCCCTTGACGTGACTTGGTGAGAAGTGACGCACATTGCACATCATCCTCGTATAATCTGTCAGCAATTCGGGAATACTACAAATCTTTATTCGTAAGTTCTGCTGTTCTGGTGTCTCGTCTCCTGCTCACTGGCATACGCGGTGCGTTCAAAGTCACTTCTATATTTATATATAGACACTATATTTATACATGGACACATATATAGACACTCGTCACAGGCACTCCACGCCGTCCGTCCTCGCACCGGCGCGTCCGTCCTCGCACCGGCACGTCCGTCCTCGCACCGACGGCTCCCCGAGTCTTCTTTGTACTCTCTCCTTCTGGCCCCCGCGGCCGCGTCCCTCGCGCCTTGGGGTAGGAGAGGAACGAGAGCGCCTCCAAGCGGCGCTCGCCAAACTACGCAAGCATTCACTGGCTAGCACATAGGTGTTCTCTGGCACGTTACATAACGATAACTGGAGCCCTGAATTATGATGGGACAAGTAGCGACTTGCTGCGATTGCACCACTGTTCTGAGCAGATTGGGTAGAAAATCGGGTAGATTGCAAAGCATTCTATATTACCGGTCATTAACAACTAGTATGAGTCTCCACAAAACAAGAAAGAAAAAATGGAATAAGAAAAGACTGATTCTGCGATTCGATGCTTTACTATTGTTTACGACGCGCACACTTCTGCTGTAATTTTGGAACAGCTGACGTGCATTGAAGTTCCTTCTATTTCGATGGCTCTTACATAACGCATCACATTGAGGTCAGAAAGACTGCTCGAAAGCCCGTTGAGTCCTGTGAGTACGATAGTGCAATCGCTCATTCGAATGCTTTTAAATCTCCGCAATCATTCAATAAATCATTCGTCACGCGATCGTTATGAAAGTCTAGGATTTGTCAGCAAGGGGATGGATTTTCGGATTACCGGCCCTGTTGCAGTACGCACTTTCGAGCATGGAGACTTGATTGTTCGGACTGTTATCGACGGAGGAAGAGTTTACTCTAGGTCTACGCTAGTGGACGAGTTAATCAGTTGTCTGGATTTCTGTTTCAGTATTTTAATGCCCTAAGTAACGATCGTGCGTGAGGATGTCAAGCGCGGAATGAATGCAACAACACTAATTTTTCGGTTCTTTCGCCTTGTGGCTGATTCAGTATAGCCTCCAGAGCCATCGGTTCGGTTGTGCTTCACTTTTTCCCCTCACCAAAATGAACCCGAACGCCTCACGCGACAGAGCCTGACGCGTTAAGATGAGCAAGAACAAACATTGCAAATGTGTGCTCAAGATTTCTAAAAGCTTTAACTTTAAAAGCATATTAGGCAATGGTACTCCACTCCGACCTTTTGTGCCACTGCAGGGGACTAGAGGGGCAAATTTGTGGGAGCCGAAGTCGATAAGGAGTATGACGAATGAGTGCAGGGTACGGTGATAGAGGGACGAATGTGTGGAATGGAATGGACGTCGGTAAAGTGGAAAATATAAGGACCAGTGGAAGCATCGGTCGATCAATATACGAGAGGGATGGACGAATTAGAATCGCATTTAGAAGTCAGCTAATGTTAACACCGAAGACAGTCTGGGGGGAAGACGAAACGCCCGACAAGGCGTTCGTAACCCAAGTCGTGTCAAACGGGTGTAGCAGGGGAAGAACCCTTCCACGGAC